ATAATAGATCTTGCCAAAATTAAATGCATTAAGTGTTTACAACTTAAATCGATTGGATTTAGGGCATAACACTTACAACAATCGCCTGCTATAACGAGCAAGGTAAGGCATTACACGCTAACGTAAGATCGTTGATCCTCCATGAGCGTTCTACCTCTATGCGAAACCATCGACCTCTCATTAGCCCTCTACCTCTATGCGTGACCATCAACCCTCATATGCTCTACCTTTACGCGAGACCATCGGCCATCTATGGATGCTCTACCTCTACGCGTGGCCATCGACCCCCCCCATAGGCCCTCTACCTTTATGAGGTCATCAATCCCCCATGGGCGCTCTACCTCTACGCGTGGTATCGATTCCTCGGGGGCACTCTATCTCTACGCGAGGCCATCGACCCTTTCGGGGTGCTCTACATCTACACGAGACCATTGACCCCCCGTGGGAACTCTACCTATATCCGAGATCGTCAACCGGCATGGAATTACCTAAGTGACCACCCCAATACTTAGTCATAAAGTCTTTGATGAATTGACAAGGTTCCTCGGCGGTTACTACGAGCACAACTGCCAGGTGAGAAGTTAAAGAGCCCTCACCCAGAATGTGGGGGTAGTGGGAAAGCCAACGTGGGACACGTGGCATCACGACCGCTTGACATTCACCCGGCTTCCGATGTCTATAAATACCCCCGAAGGTGACACAAGTAGGAGAGATCATTTTTCTTAGCCAACTGAATTCTGTTCTTATTTTTCCTAATAACATATACTGATTATTACGCATGAGGTAAAACGGGGGAGAAAGCTTTGCCCTTATTCTTCAGGTTACACACGCCTGACGGAGTAGCAGAAACATTAAACGCCACCAAGTAGACAAGAATGTATTGATTCACCACCATTTCATATGTAATACGTAGTTTATTTGTCTAAATCATGATCTAATTGGGATCTTTATTATTATTGCTAATTAATCATAGCTAATGTTATAATTTTAATTGTCAAAAAAATTGGCACAAGGAACGAAAGATCCATTTGAAAGAGGATAAAGGAAAAGGAAAAGCAAATAAAGAGTTTACAAGCTTTAAGGCCAATTCCGGCAAGTCTCAATTTCTCTCTCTTATTTAATTTTTGAGTTCCAAATATTATAGTGCTACGTTGAGAACAATGTATAAATAAAGTTTCGGGACGAAAAATCTATATTTTAATTTTAATTTAGTCCGCCTGTTTGGATTGTGTGTGTTTAATAAAGGCTCAATTAGAGCTAAAAAAAAAAAAAAAAAAAAAAAAAAAAAAAAAAAAAAAACACCGAAGGAAAGGCATAACCTTAGGCGTGGTGTGAAGGAAGCACTACTAGAAAATGAGGCGACGGAGACGGAATTTTAGCAATTAACATCTTCCATTCTGATTACTGACGGAATTAACAATGGAAGTTGGATTTTAATTATTGATGGATTTTAATTCGTAGGTAATTTGCGATGGAACAATTGTTGCCAATTAGTTATGGAAATAGTCGTTGGTATTTACCCATGGGATATTTTGGTCGCTAATGGAAATTCCGTTGGTAAAACCCATTACCAATGGAATTTCTAGCATTAGCGACTAAATTTTTTGCATCTAAATCCACATTTTTTGTAATGAAATTTTAATCTACTTTACAGGTTGAAGCTAGTCTCGAGCAATAGTCCTACTCATTATAAATGTTTAAGAGATGATTTATGGGGAAAGAAGGCTGGCTATAGAAAAGAGTAAAAGTTACCTTCGAAAACCAAAAAGATCCAAAAAAAATAGAAGTGACAAAATAAAAAGAAAAAATTGAAGCACACAAAGTGTGTTGAAGCAGTAGCAAAATAACTATAAATACTTAATCTGTCATGCTAAATCTTGATCATCAGTTAGAGATTTGGAGAGTGGTTGAGTTTGATGATGAAAATAAGTACTAAAGTCACTTATTTAGGCACTTTCGTGGAAAAGAAATTAAAAAATCAAGGGAGCTATACGGGTAAAGAAAGAATATATTGACATACTTTGAATTTGGTGTTGTTCAATAAAAGATACTTGAAAGTTGAAATACATGGCTTGATTCAAGTAGCATCGGTAACATTGAGAATGATTAACACTACACTAAAAACTAAATGTACGATATGTGAAGTTTGTGAAACAATTAGTCTTGTATTTTATTAACTTGTTTAAATTTTGTGATTTAGATATGTATTTTGAGGAAATAGTGAATTCCTTATATCGATTTGAGTATATTTGTTTAGGGTTAAGTTTCTATGTTACTTTATTCTAGGACAAACAAATATTTAAGTTTGATGGTGTTTGATCTTACCCATCAAAAGTTACTTTTGAAAGTTATTTTATAAACTAGATACTTAATTTTGCTTGTTTATTGATTATTTCAGAAGAAAATATGGTATTGCATGTAAAGGAAAATGAATGCGAATGGATTAAAAAGGACGAGAATTGAAAGAATTCTAGAAATTGGGGACTAACTTGTCATGTTTTAAAGTTAAAGGACCTACTATAAATATAAAATGAGATGGGCTGAATAAGAATATAGAGTTGGGGACCAAGTTGTATAAACTAAAAGAAGAAGGGTGCAGAAGCCAAATTTGGGTGTGATGGCAACTGCAAATTTTACAGAAACAACACCCAAAACTCATAAATTGTGCAATCGAACCCTTGAAACCCATGCACTCATGGGGTTGCATGCAACAAGTTTTCACCAATCTGAGACCTCCTAATTTGACTAAAATTTTGGCTTCTATCACTTTTGGGCACGAAATTTGACGTAACTGAAGGTTTATAAATGCCATTCTTTAGGGAAAAACAAGGGGAGGTACAATTCTAACGCAAAATTTCACATTCAAATTCATTAAATTCTCAAAATTTGTATTTACTTTGGTATTTAAAGATAGAGAAACATAGAAATTCTGTATCAAAGGTCTAAAAGTTAGAGTTTTCAAGATTTTGGATAGAAGAAGATCCTCGATGCAAAATTTAATTATTTCCTTTATCAAGATTTCAAAATCTAATGACGAACCCTATTATATTTAGTTATTTTTCTTTCATTAGTATGAATACGTAAATCATTAGTTTGGCAAACAATATAATCTATGTATCCTCTTTATTTGAATTTTCAAGATACCAGTAGATTAATTTTTCGTTTGTTGATTTTATGTATGATTTTTAATACTTTGGATTGATTGACCAGTAATTCAATGACTTGTGAACTTGTAAGGGATATGCTGAATGGACTTTGAACTTGAGAGGGGGTAAATTGATTAATCAAGAAGAATTTGATCGAATACCATAATAGTAATGAATTTTGAAAGCAAATTACGTGTGACCTCTAGATGAAATTGTAAGTCATAACGATTACATTTATACTTTAAAAACCTATTTTGAGTTAATTGTATGTGTTTAGACAAATTTAGTACCTATTCGGAAAGGATTAAAATTAAATTTTTAGTAGATTTTGATAAAAGTTGATGAAATGTACAGTTGAAAAATTGTAGATCCCACAAAATACGTGGTTAAAATTATTTATTAACTTAAATTAAAATATTTACCAAAAAGGGGTTAGTATAATTAGAAAATTTATGAAATTAATTAAACATTATTATTTATTTTTCATTAATTAGGAGTTAGAAATATTAAATTAAAAATTAAATAATAGTTTTCGAGGAATTGACTATCCAAACTCATATATGCGCTATATGGGTGATGCTACACATATATCAGGATGTTCATCTTCTTCACATGGATAAATAAAATTATATTTTATTTGAAATGGATCCCCTCCATGTGAAGGAGTGAACACTATTATGAGCATCACATTATGTACAAATAGCATGTTCCCCGCTATATTACTTGCTATAATTATAATACAGTATACTTGCTATAGAAAACACACAACAGCCCCTATCACCCATTGTTCCTTCATCCTCTATCGGTGGTAGAGTTGCAATGGCATTTTTCCACTCACTTTTGACCTACGCTAATGCCCTACCGAACTGGTTTATTGAACCTCTGCATATTGACCTTTCGATCTTGATCGAAATCTATCTCACTGTGGACATTTAGGATAAAGTTTTTACACAACCCAATAATTAGGCCAGGAAACAACAGTAACACATGGTTATTAGTGATAGCTGTTGAGGCAATCAAATCATAGATGAGTTCAGACACAATAATTTTCTTACCATCTACAAGTCAATAAAACAACTCAACCTTGATCTCCCATCCTAGTGGGCAAGAATTATAATACTAACTGTGAATGTGACAACATGTAATATTGCCACATCAACGATAATGGGATGATGTTACATGTTGTCACATCAATAGAAGGTACTGTAACTCTTGTTCATTGTGAACAAAATATCAAACTCATAAAGTCTTTGCTCTTTCGAAAGTGATGGTGGTTTTGTGGGTAGATGGGAGTGTATTGGCAGAGACCAACTTGCACAATGTATGTACTTGGTGAGAAAATTGATAGAATTTTAAAACATATGACTTCTTTGAGGCATTTTGTAAACATGTTTTACTGTTTAAAGCTATTTCGTGTACTATGTCATTACCTTATTAAAAATATTGAAAACGTAATCTGTATAGTCGTTAATTGATATAATATTTGTGGCACATCTTTGAACTTATTTTCACAAGTCGATCAAAATTCAAAAGTATACTAAAGATTTTAATGGGAATAGCACAAATTGAACCTCACACGAGCTGGCTCGAGCGGCGTGGTTGCTTTGGGTCAAGCTGAGCAAAGGTAGCTCGTTTAAGAAATTTCGACTTGGTTCATCCCTTTTTTAAAATTAATCGATTTTATTTTCCTTGATACCCCATCTCGATAGTAGGCTGTGTGACTAACAAAAAACTTGTGTATATCGCATAGGCTAACGCAACTAACATGACAATTAAAATAATAATACGATGAAAATGATAATCTTTGGTATGAGAGAATACTTTAACAAAATAAATATTTGAAAAAATAAATTCAACATGCAGTCACTCGTATTTACCATCAGTCACTTTTCTTTACATAGAAAAACAGAAGAAATTCCTCACTGGGCTTTCACACTGCTCACCAACTCACTCATTCACTAAATCCTACTATCTTCTTAAACTGTGAATTTGATACAATAATTTCATAAGCACTTGCGATATCTCTCATCATTTTTTTTTTCTAAATTTTTTTTGTCTAAATTAAATTTTAAAAAAAAAATCTTCAAATGCTGCATCTCTTTCGCTCTTCACATGAATTCCTTCGCGGCTGGATTAATTTTTCGTGCGAAGAATAACTTCTTGGCAACTGCGAAAATTCTGAAATCATTGAGAAATTAACAGAATTAGTAGATTTTTAACGATGATAGAGTAACATTATTATTTAGTTCTAACACATTTAGGGGTGTCATCAATTGAAATTGTGATGAATTTTAAAAGTTATTCAAAATTTAAGTGTCTTCAATTGCGATTTTATTGAATTTTAATGAAATCAACTCAAATTTAGGTATTCTCAATTGAGATTTTAATGAAATTCTTTAAAATGTAGGTATGTTCAATAATTAATGGATTTATAAGAATTTTATTAATAGAAAAATTTTTAAAAACTTAAATGGATTTCAAACTTAAAAATATATATAAGCAAATTTTTTAGAATTTCACCATATTTGATGAAATTCGTATGAAATTTTTACAAATTTATTCAAATCCGCAAAAATTATTAAATTTTATAAATTTTAAAATTTCATTAAAATCTTAGTTGAAAACTCTTGTTAATCTTGCTATTCTTCCATTTATCAAATTTACAATTACTTTACAAAGAGGAATCCCTTTTTCCTTTTTTTTTTTTTTATTTTTTTTAAGGGGGAAAAAAAAAAAAGTACCTTTGTATGAAGAGTCGAAGCTTTTCTTGCAATGAAGAATGGCGCCTTGTATTCCATCATGCTGCTGCAACAGTGAATCGTCCCTCCGGTTCACCGCCGCCGTCGAAGTCGATCGGCTTTTTGTCAAACGATTGCTCCCAAAACTGCCCACTCTGCTCTCATAGGAAAACTTAAACGGAGATAAATTAACCGTTGGAGCCGCCGGAGAAGAGGTCGGCGTTACAGAATCCGAGAAATTCATAATCCAATTCTTCCTTTTTGAAACCTTAATATGAAGAGGTTTGAATAGCTTCAAATACTTGGGCACACAATCCTTTAAAGATTGCTTCGACGAAGGGTTAATTGAAGATTCATCACAGATATCTTGAAGCAATTTGCTTCTCAAGCTTTTATCTCTGGTAAAATCGGAAGAAACCCGACCTTCATCCACTTTGCAATTTACCGAATCACGCTTTGTTTGTTCCCTATTGATCTCCGTTTTGTCACATATTGAAGATTTCTTCGAACCCAACATGAACGGTTTGAATTTCGGAGCTGTCTTCTGAAGAGCTACTGGGGACAGAGGCTTCGAATTGGAATCAGGTGATTGGAAAACCAAATCGAAGAAAGAGTCTTCATCATCGGTTTTTTCATCGTTGGAATTTTCCGAGCTATTCGTGAAGCAATCTCCGTCGGAGCTGACGTCAGCTCCGGCCACGGAATTTGCCCAGATTTTAAGCTTGGTAAGAAATTCCATTGACAATTCAACGTAAAGATTGAATAGTAAAGACTACAAGAACGTGGAGGGATTAATAAAGGATTGGCTTTTATGGGCTAAAAATTAATGGCTTTGGATTCTGGCAAAAGAATAAACCGAAAATTTTTGGCTTTCGGTAAAGCAGAATTCAAGAGACTTTTCCTTTTCTGAACAAAGGCGCGGGGTGGTTGGGTGGGTGAGGTAGGAGGACTAGAGCACAAACAAGAAATCGTATCAAGGGAAAAAAAAAAAAAAAAAAAGGTTGGGAAAAATTTATTCTTGAAAAGAACCCTTTTGAAAACAGAAAATTTAGTTCTCAATCCTTATTTAAGTGCGAATTTTTAACATATATTCTGGTTTATAAACAAAATGTTCGTAAGGTAAGGATATGATGACGATTTTTTGGAGATTTAGTACTCGGAACTATAATAAAATGTTGAAAATTAACTTGTTATTCAAACAAAAAGTAGTGAAGCGTTTCTGCAACTTTACATATGAGGGGGTTCGATTTGAATAAATCATATTTTATTTGAAGCGAGACCCCTTCATGTGAGGAAGGTGAACATCTCGATGTACATGTAACGTGACCCTTTAGTCTATACCTCTCCTTCTTTTGTTTTCACAAAATCGTATTATTCTTACGAATGATAACTCATATATTTCATCGGAGATGAGTCTTATCTATTTAAATCACAATTCTCTTACTTTATTCTCGATTTTTATATAGACCAAAACTAATACATCTTCAAACTTCCTTGTGTCTGTTACATTTGTTTTGACATTTACACCTCAACGCTCATAATGACAAAACTTATTGCATTATCCGTAAGTTAAGCTTTAACATTAAAGTATTAGGAGGGAAAAATGGGGCAAACAGAGAAACTTCCAAAAAGAAAAGGCAAAAGAGCCAAAGAGTAATAAAAGAGTTGAAGAAAAAGAGGAAAACTTTTGCTTTTTTCAGTATTTATTAATATAAATCTGACGGGTCAGACATCGGATTCTTTAGCCTTACGGGTCAAATTTACACCTTTTAAGCGGGTCAAAGTTAGACCCGGAATTTATGTTAAAGTCTAAAGGTTTGACCTGATATCTTCAACGGACCGGATTTAATATTCTGACGTATAAAAGCTTTAAAAAATTGCTTTACGGAAATAAAGTTTTCTTTTTTAATTTTTAAAAATAAAGTTGCAAACAATGTGGGAAACAAAAGGGCAAAGAAATAAAGTGATTAATTCTATAAAAAGGAGAAAAGTTTTGCATATTTATTGCTTTACTACCACTACGGATAGTTACATCTCAAGTTATAAGTTATATATCAATATATACAAGTACTTCGAATTGGTTGATCTAGTTTTATGGTTGGTCTGTACGAATAATTACATGAAGTGTCACATCAATACATGAGCCAAAAACTTGTTCAGTTTTAGAAAATATTAGAATGCTCAATATTTGAAAGCGAGTGGTGACCAAATATAGCCTGATGCCTTTCAGCTTGTTTGGTAGTGATTATAAGAATTGATTTTTTTATCATTAGAAAGCAAAAGTGGGTTCCACCTATGAGTGAAAAAATACAAAATGACAACTGAAATAAAGAACTAACAGTCAAAAAATTTATTTTTTTGGATGAAAAATTGCTACCAAACGAGGATTAAGTTAAATTTTTTCGTAGAAAGATAAAATTGAAGAGTTATTAGTTGATATATTTTGCGTGCCTTTCAATTGCTTTTTGAGGTTGTTTATATAGAAAAATAATATTGATTCTTGCTAGATCAAAAAGGTTGGCTTCTTGTGGGCAATTGCTTAGTCGACAAGTTTACTTAGCCCCTCTTTGGTCTTCATTAAATGTGTATTTTAGAGTAATGATTTTTTTAAAAATGTGTGATTAAAAAATAAAGATAAATTTCGAAATTACATATAACATTATTTTATGAAAGAATGTGTGGTATGAAAATGAGTATTGATAAAAAATATTTTTCAAAAAATGGAACCCAATAGAGACCGAGTAGACAAGTATTACTCTACTGGTAACAAAGAGGTTTCTTGGGTGCAATTCTACCGTTGCTCGATATATCCTAGGAACAAGAAGATGTTTAGAGAATCGAGATAAAACATAGTTTTGTGGATTAACTGGTGTTGTGACATAACAAAACATGCTCAACATTGCTTCACTTGCCATCAAGTTAAAGTAAGCATCAAGGACAATCAGGCCTCTTGCATCTATTTTAGATTCCAATATGGAAATGAGGGCGAATTTGCCTAGATTTTTTTTCCTATGCTTGCCTAAGATTAAAAAGTGTTAAAATTTTGACTGGATAATTGTAGAACGTCTTACCAAGCAAGCATCCTTCTAACCGGTGAACACTAATAACATGACGCGAGAAGCTAGAGCTTGTCAAACTTCATAAAACCTCATTAACGATCATGTCTAACTGAGACCTAAATTTACTTCTCCATTTTGAAAGAGACTACACAAGGGTATGGGCACATAGTTATAGTTTTGTACGGCATTTTACCCACGAATAAATTGGCAGTTGGAAAGGACGATTCAAACCGTTGCGGTACTTGGAATGAGTTCCCTTTAGTTGAGTTTACCTCTAATAATAGTTGCCGGTCTATTATTTGGGTGACACTTGTTGGGATTTTATATCGAAAATTGGTTGAAGTGGAATTCTTAATTTGGTGAATGAGAAATTAAGTCAAATGTAAGCCGCTTAATAATTCAAATTATTGAAAAATTGTATAGAATATTGTGGAATATTCTAGAAAAAAGTTGGATAAAAAGATGTATTTTTATATGAACGGTCATGACTTTTGGCATAATAATTCTCCAATAATTATGAATTCCAAGAGATGTGACTCTTGGTATGGTTGCGTCTTTTGACATATCTTTCCAACTACTATATATAGACCCCCATATATTTGAATTTTATCATACAAGAAATTCATGAAAGTAAATAGATAGTTCCATATCATTACATTCCATGCTTACACTTTAGTTTGCATAAACCACTTGCATCAAAGTTATGGTTATGATAGAGAGGGAACTTCGTTCGAGTTCGTTAGTTGAAGTCATTTGGAGTGCTCCTATGACTTGACGTGGTCGTTGTAATTTGAGAGATAATTGTCGAAAAATCGTTAGCACCAATGCAAGGCAAATTCATCTTAAGGACAAAATGTCTAACACTTGCCTCGGTCGATCGCATCACTCGCATCTCACCTTGATTCTTTCTGATTTCTTTTTTTGTATTTGATTTCAGAAAATTAATAACATTCTTTTAATTTCATGTGGGTTTGAAATAAAGAAAGTAAATGATAGAATCTGTCGTTTCATCTTCCCAAATCCATTTCGGTAAGACGAAATTGCGTTTCGATTTCGTGAACATAAATGACATGTCTTGTGAATATAATATGCATAATATCGGTGTAATTTTCCAACAATCTTAAGATAAATTTAGTGATTTTTATTGTGCATTTATATTTCAAAATTTTATTTAGAATTGGCAAATATACCATCACGTGTATTCTCTGCAAATAGGTTATAAATATTTTTGCATGGAAATAGATGAATCAGAGAGTCAGTCTCTGCATTCAGTAATTTGGATTTAATAATATGACCATTGTCACATGATTGTGTATAAGTATAAATGATCCGAACGACGGGAACGTGCAAGATTTTGTGACCATTGTTTCACATCTCTTAGTTTTTAAATTGTTGCCTATAGATATGTTGAATTATGTTTGAATATTTGTTTGATCAATCGCGCCGCCAATGGAGAAACTGCATGAAAAAAATTGTGCATAAGATGTGTATAAATTATTTAACAATTGAAAGATAATGTTACCATGGTGGATAATGGATAAAAAATCATTTACCGGTTAATCTATCTTTTTTGGTAGCTTCATTTTTCAATATCTATTTGCATTCTTAAACTGAAAATTGAAAATGAATGTTTATGAACTAATTTGGAAGTGGTAGGGACTCCAAATTATTGCATGTGAAATAAAGAGTCATTAAATACATGTTTAATATAATTCATGATTTTGATTATGATTCATGTAATTAGTAATTTCTTCTCTATTGAAATTATGGAATATGTTTTGACGACTCATTGTATATTTTGTAGCTACCATGGGAGGAAATGATTGAAATAATGTGACTTTTCATTTTAAATGCAATGAAAATGGTGGACTTATGCATGGGCTTGTGTCATTACATCTTTGATATTAATAATTTCAAATTATGAATTGATTAATTATAAATGGACATTGTGAACCATTTTATATTTTGCAAGTCGATAATTCCAAGTTAAAAATTATGAACGAGCATGTAGTTTCATGATTTTGATGTATAGAATTTATTTGTCAATACAATGGCCTGTGTCTTATTTGGAATGATTATACAAATATGCTTAGAGGAAATCTATGTTCCTTCGGTTGGATGGGCAATTTTGTTGGATGTCTATATGATAATCATGGAAAGCATATGGAATGTGACATTATAGTGTTATTTGTATGAATGTGAATCCCAAATAGTAAATTCATTTGGTGAATCCATACAAGGGTTTGAATTTCGGATAGACTTTTTGGTCTGTATATGCAAATCCGGTATATACTGTAAGTTGCATATAAGTTTAATATACGGTATGCTGGTGCAAATACGATAATCTGTTGCAAATACGGTAAGCTGCATGCTGCAAATACGGTAAGTAGCAATACGGTAAGCCGCATATACGGTACGTTGTATATACGATGAGCTGTATATACAGTAGTGAGATATACGGTAAGTTACATATACGATATGCGTCAATCCGGTAAGTAACATATACGGTATGAAGTTGTAAATCCGGTATATGTCCATGGATTTTGATTTGAAAATTATACAAACCTTGATTAATGATGATAGTTTCAATTAATTCTATAAAATTAAATGAGATGACTTGTGCAAAATTATAGTTGCATAAGAGTGACAAAATGTGGTTTTGTCCTAATAATTTTAAAGTGGAAATTGCTTGCTCAATTATTGGGATATGAAAATATTTTATAGAGCACAAATGGTGTCTATAGTTGGCGGTGGTGCCGAAAGTCCTTAAAATAATTATTGTAAAATGATATTTATTTGTAAAGGATAAAAATTATGTTATGCAAAAATTGTGAAGAATATTATGAAATATTCTAGGA